CGGGCACTCGGGACTAGTGAATTTTTTTTTCTTCAAGGCGAGCTCATTCGAAATTACCAAATATTTAAATCAATTTTATTCCATAAATTGATTATTTATCAATTTTATTGGTAAATAATCAAGTGGTAAATAATAATAAATTATATTGGTATTTGCTTCTGATCCAAAATGTATGAAATGAAGAGAGCAAAGACGCACTGTCTTTGCTCTCGATGCGTATTTGTTTGAGTATTTATATGGGAAAGTAAGCGGAGGTAAAAGAGAGCCTTAAGATAATTTTCAATATAACATCGTAAATGAAAAAATAAATTTATTTTAATATCAGTTTAATAATATTGTCTTACAGAAATGACGAATATATCATAGAAATATTTGGTTTATCCATAATATTATTTAACATAGTTACATATACCATGGAGTTAACTAAATTTGGCAACTTTCCAATATAGGAAGGTAATTGGATAAAGGAAAAAAAAACATATTTCCTTATTAATCGCATCTGCTAACCTCACAAGGAATTCGGCGTAAATATATAATTCTTTCCTTATTTACTGGAAAGCCATGGCGAATCTACGCAAATTTCCCTTCCAACTTAATAGAGCCTAAACAAAAACTGACCTTTTTACTGTACCCTCAAAATTATTCCACAGATAATAACAGATTTGTCTCACCAAACCATCTACCTATCCCCGTTCCCGGACCAATGTCACGTGCCGCTCGAGTTAGTGCATAAATTATACGGCTTACGACCGGTTTCTGCATTGAGAAAAGTACGAAGTCTCAACTGATTATTCTCAATAACTTCAGTTTATTTAATTTTTACAAAGCAAATAGTCCTAGTTTTTATCAACTGATAATTAAAAATACTCAAACCACCAACGTAAATCTGTATAAGTGTCTTTTAAATACAATAGGGATGATGACTAATTTTTGTTTGTTTATCCGTCAGGTAGAGTGTTAAAAAATATTAAACATGTATTTTTTTATTTTTTTCCTAATCATAAAATTACGGCGTTACATGGAGTTGAAATTTCGCATGGCGTCACGTTATGTTATGTTTTCTACTAAACTGTGACGTAGCGAGCCCCCACTCCTCAACTTTAATGCCTGTTATCTAAAAAAATTGAAGTAAAAAAAAACGTATCTAATATTTTTCTATTATCTGACTGACGGACTAAATAGAATTGCATTTTTTTACCCAGTCGTCATCCCTATTTGAGACATACTTAATCTTAAATATTCAATTCAGAAATCGGATGTTTTCCAACAGCTATCAATTCATCAGTTCAATGGCTTGTAAAAATTTGTACTTATTTGTATCTTTAATGTTTATTTACTGCTTTATGTTCTAAGGGATGTTCTTAATATATATAGCAGATTTTCAAAATAAAAACTTCAAATATAAATAATGATATAAAATACAAATTTCAAAAAATAATGTATCGGACCGTTACACCCAGTTGCATAATTGTCCATTATCGTTTAATGTGACTTTAAGCTCCAATGAAATATCACTCCAATGAAATAACGCTTTAAACTAATGACAAATTTAATACACATTTAAACAACTGGGTAAAAAAAATACCAGTAGATCGATATACAAATTATTCGATGTTTTTGTTATTTAATTTTTCAATTAATACATAAGTTTTCTCCATATGTTTTATTAGTTCACAGCCGTAAAATGCTGTTACTGGAAAAAATATGTTATTATTATTTTTTTTATTAAATTTCTAAAGTGTAAGTTAGTTAAAAATAATTATTAGAAACATTGATTAAGCAGTAGAATAATTTATATTTAAAAAGTGAAAATAACAAATCATCAGCTTTGTCGTTATTTTTTTATATATAATTGTCAAACTATACATTTATAGTTAATAATTGAAAAACCAGGTAGTTTATCGCAGTAACTTTTGACAGAACCTAAAAAGCACCCGTGAATCCAATTTTGTTTCTACTACAAGTTTAAATCTCGAGAGAAAAGAACAGTTAAGGCTGTGATTGAGTGAGCGCCATAAAAACGATAGATTGGCTATTACTTCTATCTCTTAATTTAAATAAAAAATTTAAATTTTTCATTAGTTTAAAGAGACACTACCGATACAAATTTGACATTCATTAGAGCTTAAAGGCGTCATTAAGCGCTGATGGATGTTCGTGCAACTGACCGTAATATCCATGAAGGTTTAATGACGACTTTAAACTGTAATGAGGGTTCTAAATTTGAATGTTTGTATCGGCTATCAGCCACAAACCACCATTAATAAATGTCATTAGTTTAAGGCGACATTCGGTCAGTTGCGCAAATGTCCATTCAGGTTTGGTGACGCCTTTATGCACTAATCATCATATTGCACAAACGTTCATTAAATTCTTCGATAATTTAAAGCGACATTACCCATACAGATTTAACATTCATTAGAGGTCTAAGGCGTCATTAAACCTTAATCAACGTTTGTGCAACAGACCGTAAGAATGACAAATTTGTATCGAAAATGTCGCTTTAAACTAATGGCTGATTACCGACATAAATTTGACATTCATTAGAGATTAAAAGATATTCGTCACTAAAACTTAATGGACGTTTGTGCAACTGACCATATGTCGTTTTAAATTAATACCAAATTTATTCAACATTTGTGCGACTGGGTGTAAAAGCGGTAACTATACTCATGGAAATCATTAATTGATTTCCCAATTCACACACAAAATACTTTATTAGCCCACCCGCTAGACATACACGATTTAAATTTTAAACATAATTAGTTGAATAGCAAATGAGTAAGCCTTAACATATTATATTACTGTACTTTACTTTTTAACCAACTCCAAAATACAAAAGAGAAGGTTATACGTTTGACGGCGAATATATTTTTTTATTTCTATTAAGCGTTATTTCCGCCCATTCTTGACTGATTTCAAAATTCTTTTATTATTCGACATTTAATGGAATACCTGGTGGTCACATTTTAATTTTATGGAAATATAATCTGTAGTTTTTTTTTTATAACAAAACAAAATACTCTTTTCACCATATATCACGTAAATATAGATTATCTTGGTTATCGTAAAATTTTAATTTAATCTGAAGTTTACTATTGTCATCTAGGTCATATAATTTTTGTTTATTTTCATTAAATCTTATCGAATGACATTGTCCTAAACATTAATTATATCATTATACATGGTACATTCAATATCATTACATTTTCTAATCAAATAACGTAATACTATTTGTATAGCTAATACTATCAGCGATGCATTAAAACAAGATTAGAAGTAATCTCGTTAAAACACGCTCTTGTGATTCTAGGATTACATGCTTTCGTAATGCAAAACATAGCTATTTGCATAGTTACTCTATTTAATCAAAATTGTACACAGTATATTCATTCATAATCATATCATTCATGTTGATACATAAATACTAAATACTCACAAAAGAATTTCCTTGGTTATAAAATAAAAAAAAAGAATTATATCTTTTGTTTCATATTATATTCTAAATTCAAAAGTTTACTAGTATTTCACATATATAAATTGGCTGTTTTAACGCGACTTCCCACGCGTAAATTATAGTCTATGTCAACCCCCTATGATGTAGCCCCATATAATTTCTAAAGTTTCGAAGCCTATTCGATGCAAACAAACAAACAATCATATCTTTCATCTTTATAATATTAATTTAGTTATAATTATATATAGAGTCAGATTTTCAAATACAATAAAGTATCGTTTTCACTCGATACTCAATATATAATATTACGAGTATGATCTCGTGCTGAATTTTCACTCAAAAAGTTTGATACGATTTCTGAAACGCGATCAAGATTTTGGAATGAATGTTTAATTTTTTACACAGTATGTTCATCGACAAAAATATTATGTTATTGTATTTTATAATATTAGTGGGCATTTTTTAATGACCGCCGGTGGGAACATCACGCCACCATAATTATAGCATTTATGTTGATATTTACGACATTTTTATGAGTAATTTTATGAATAGCTGTCACGATCTGTCATAAAATTTTTCAGTTATTTTAAATTAGGTTTCTAATACATTACAATAATTATGACAAGATTAATTACTTGTGACAAAATTTAGAGACTGCTTTATCTATGTTTCATTAGAACAAGTATAATTTAAAAAGAATCGTATCTGGACCTTTCAAATGCACCTCCTACACTCGTTTAATTTTTAGTTCAGTTTCAGTTTTCATCATTACTTATAAGTAATATAAGTTAATTATATAATATAAGTAATTACTTATAAGTAGTAAATATATAACTACTTTATAAACCGAAATATAAAAATGAATTATTTTGAAAGCCATGTTTCTTTTTTAATTAATACACTATTTTATTATTAATATTAGTTACTTGTGAACACTTTAATTAGCGTTTGACTGTTATTGAAAACTTGGTTCAAAAACGTAAACAAAATTTTCAGTTCGTTATTTTACCAAAAGTCTTTTAAGTGGATTGTTAAAATAGACTTCTGAAATATTATTTCGAAGTCGTCAAAAATTATATTTTAATAATGTGCAAACAAGAATATCTTGGCGTTTTTGTATTTTTCACAGTGAAATTTTCAGATTTACAAAGAGTACAAATATTATTTTATTAATTTTATTTTCTCACTTCGTCAGTAGGTATTATTTCCTTATAAATACTTTAAAATTGTTGAACTACTTTTTTTCAGAACTAATAGCCTCTTTACAATGACAATAATTCAGAATTTAATACTTTAAAAAAGATTACCCATTATATTAATATACTATTATTGCTTTTATTCATGATATTTCATTCAAGATAATCTAGATATATTAGTTAAAATATTTTTAATTAGGCGACTCTCTTTATTCGGTAAACAATCCACATGACAAGCACACACCTCGCATAAACATACTCGAGAACAGCCGTTCATTGTCATTACGCCCTCCAGAGATTTCCAGATCCAGAAACTAGTTCAAATTTCGAACACGTAATAAGTGGCCAGTTCTAACGCGTACCCGGTCCGCGCGCAAGCTTTGACAGCCCGCGTGTTACCAACAACTTTTTTGAAATGGTTCGTCAATTATTAAAAAAGCATTTTATTTTTTTATACATACATATACATTCTCTTTGAATATATTTTGTGCCCAATATTTATTTTTAAAATATGAGTTTTAAAGTCAAGAGTATTTTTTTTTTAAACTAAGTGGTACTTTTTTTTCTAGCAGACCAATCAAATAGATGATGAACAGATTACTAGTGAGTATAATTGTAAAATATTAGAATTAACACAAATAACCTTCAAGTCGGGATAATATACTTTGATATCTTCTCAAAAAATTATAATCATTGTTCAATCAATGTATCTAAGGTACAAAAAATTAATGAATTATATACTATACAGGCTGTTTATCATTAGCTTCGTATTAGACTTACGGAGTTTTGCCTAAAGTTCACCATTTATACTATGTGGAAAATAAATAAATACACGTGTCACCGAGCCGAGGGTTTTATGGAGCATTTTACAGTAGAGTTCGCGAATAATTAATTAAAATCAAAACTGATCAAAATCAAATTAATTATTCTTAATAATTAGTTTTTTTAAACGCGCGATTCGCTGTCATCTATCCCTATCTATTTCACTGTCGGGCGCAAATAGACAGAAAAAGAACCTATTTTGGCTTTAATGTAGTGAACCATAGCCAATATCAACATAAAAAGTAAATTGTACGATTAATTGTTAATTTGCTAATGAAATGACGCCATGCGGTGTGTTTCTCCATTCGTCTTTCCTCATTTTCAATTGAACCATTTTGGTCATTAAAAACGTTTCGTGAATTTAATTTCCTGATTGCAATTTGCAACCGCATAATGTGTTCCGTTTTAATTGTTGTGTTATTCACGAGTTTCTTCGGTGACGTGATTTACATAACACAACATGATGGCTATTGACACATCATCGTGTTTTCCTTTTTTTTATTCTGCCATCAGTCATTGTTATACATTTTCAAAAATTTTCAAAATTGGAACGATTTTTATCTATGGTTTTACGAAAGCACGATCTGTTTAATTTGTACAACTACCTGACTTGTTTTCCCGCTCGTTAATAGTGAAAAAGTTCAGTGCTTGAAAGATTCAGTCCTGTATTTCAGTGGTCAAAGCAGTCGTCCGATTGCATAAGGTCGTGGGTTCGAGTTCGAGATCGAGATTCGAGATCTTACAGTACCTGGGGCAAAGTGGAATTTTTAAGCATTTTTAATTTAAAAAATAACTATTAACCAACATTATACACATTGCTCAGATTCCACGATGAGTAGTAGTAAAAATATTTTGTAGTGTAGTTTGTTTGATTACTTCGAAGCCTATTCAATGTAATCGAACAAAATATTACTCTTCCCTTTTTATAACATTATAATATGTTTTATATTATTTTAAGCTTTCATGGTCAATTGCATTGGAATTATTGTTATTCGCGAGATTGCCCCCATGTACCTCTTTTTTTTTAATATCGAGAACTCAACAAAAACAAGGCACATGGTAGCAATCCCACGAAAATATATAATTCTAAAATGACTATATATTACAAATTCCATTATTTGAGTTGTATTTAACATAAATCTACAAACAAGTTCTAAATTAAGCAGAACCCAAAGGACGCGCTGTCGACACGCATTTTGCCGCTTTTTTTTCTTATTTATCGCTGTTTCGTTATTGTGCCTTTATTGGAAACCTTATTTATTTCCGGTGCGACCATAATAAGCCGAGGGTAGCTTATTGCTATCGTAAATAACTGTATTTGTCTTGACCTTATGATTTACTACTTAATAATGTATTACTAAATTAAAACTAGGTTTTTTTCTACGTAAGAAATGGCATGCAAATTTCATCGAATTTTCTAGTTCTATCAGATAAATCTACGAACATCAAAGAATTGAACCAGTAGTATCCAAGCTGTCACTATAGTAAACGACTACTACAAAACACTAAAAAAACCGCCACGAAGTTTTATTAATATTATTATTATAAAGAGTTAAAGTTTCTTACTTTGTTTGTAGGTTGTAATTTTCTGAAATACTGATCCGATAATAAAGTTACATCATACGCGGGTGACGTAAACTATAATATAATAAAGTTACTATAAATTATACTAAAGTTACGTTTTTGCAGAGGATATTATTTGAAAATATTGATCCAATAATGAAAATTCTACTCCTACCCACTCTAGTACGTGAAGCTAAATCATACGCGGTTAGTCTAAGCTATAATTTACGCGGACGAGAACGCGGAATAGCAGCCACTTTTTTATATTATTACACATATGAAAAAAACCCTCTCAAAAGCTTATGGACATATAATGAAACACTTCCCTTAGTTGAATTTAACGTCGTCATGTCTGTTTTGATATTGTAAATTGGATTGCATTCTGCAATGAACGCTGGCATCTCACCAACGGAAGAGGGAAACGGCCTGCCAACGGACATAATGACCAGTGCGATAGACAGCATTAATGTACAGTCGACAACAGATCAGGTTGAACAGAACCGTAAATATTGCATTCGGATTTAAACCTTAAAGTTTCGGTGGTTCCAAATTAATTGATAGAGATTCATAGTATTAAAACACAATTTTAACTGATATACCATATGTTTTTAAAACTGATTTTGAAACATCAGCCTTTCACAACAACCTTTAGTACTCAGTTGCCGCCCAAAATCATGTCATCATCCGTCAATGTCAACTTCAAAAGTGACAGTGACAACCCACTGACAGATAGTGATTAATACAATCGATAAAGATTGATGTCTATGGTATTCGATAAAGAGTATCGTAGTCTAACAATAGTGATATATTTTATGTTTTTATTTACATGTGACTTTTAGTGCTATGGTCAGCATGATTATGGAAAATCAATAGCGCTTCATCTACAACCCATTATGACAGATCTTGTTACTAGAAAACAAAATAATATGTATATCTGCCACCATCGATTTGTGAGGAAGATATTGCACTAATAATATTGGACTTCAGGTCTACCTGTATTTTATAATTGTACTATCTATAGTACAATGGTAAAATATAAGTAGTTAGGACTATTGATATGCGACTATTACATAAAAAATTACACAATTGAGCCCCTTAACCCATTGACAGCCCACCATACTAAACAGTTTCGCTCTAAGACCACATACTTTACTGACCCCTACAATGATGCTCAAACATCATTACATACTTTCGTTACAATCTTCATATACCCTTGCTGGTTTTTCAATAGCACATGATCGATTTTATTGAAAGAAGTTACTGTCGTGGCCTTCCGCAACTTCTGAATCCTTCCACTTTCGAGTTCCTTCCAGTTTGTCAGAGCAACAAAAGAAGTTCGAGAATTTAATTAAAAATAGTTTTCGTCTCTTCTTGTGTATTTTATTGATATATTTGTATACGAATTAATGTTATCTCTCGTCTTTATTCAGGCTTCAATGATACAAGTTCCATTTTTAAGATTTGTTCCACACACATACTAACATCATGTTGAAAAAGCTATAAAAATGAAGCATTAACAGTTTGCGAACAACTGCCGCTAAATTGCGATGCGACATAATCGCTTAAATGAATTAAGGCCTTTTTCAGTGTTTCCAAAACGGTTTTATTCGCCGCGTTTCATTCATATTTGAGCAGCTTAATTCAATTGTTGAAACTGTCGTATCGTAATCATGGCGCTTTCTACAGGCTGTATTTTATGTTTATGAGAGATAGTATATTATAAGATAGTAAATACGCAAGAACAGTTATTGATAAGTTTAGCACATAAAAATGCTTATTCGTTTACTTTAAAAAGCGTTCCAATAAAGTTTCAGGGTGAGAAATAATAAAATTTAATAGATTTAAAAATAAAAATCCGTCGATTTCAAATCAAATTCAAATATTTTTAGCTAATATATTAATTCCTTTTACCCTAGCAAATTATGATGTGCAAATATTAATAAAAAAAGTACATTTGTGTGTGTCCAATAAGTATTCAAACATTTTTACTAAGGACTTGTGCACACACGTCTTTTGAACGCGCCGATGACGCGAGTTTTGGTAACGTATTACGCCGAACGACGGCGCGATTTTATCATATAATACATTTTTTACAAATACTTATTATAGTTTGTATCTATTCAATCGCATAGCACCAGCAGAGCAATTCCGCTATGTTTTACGTAATAATTACATCTTAATAGAATATCAGCTAATTGCATTTTACCATAGTACTATTTACCTGAAGTTCAATATTATTATATATCTAATATTATTTGACTTCAGGTAGATGGTACAATGGTAAAATACAAGTAGATGAGATTCTATTGAGATGCGTTTGTTACGTAAACATTAGCATAATTAGCCTGCTGCGGATTTGTATCGCTTTATACGCGCCTTAATATCGCGTTATACACTGTATAGAGTCTTTTGTCTTACATTGTTCAACTGGTAATGGATGTCCGCGTAATGTCTGTAATTTAAATAATAATGTAAACGAAATTGCTTATCAACTCTCGCGTTATAAACATGGTGTGCACAGGTTCTTTATTCTGGTGTACAAAGGTTGTGTCTGACACGCGTGCGTATTGCATTTGTATCGCTACAAACCTGCGTCGACGGCGCGTTTTAAAAACGTGGTGTGCATAGTCTCTAATACAGATATTAAAAATCTTTTTGTGATTAATTTAACAGAATAACGTCTATCGAGTTTGGTAGTTATCAGAAATAATTATGCTCAGTATGTTAAATGGCAGGATACCCAAGTCTATACTATTATTATAAAGATTTTATTTAAGTTTCTTTTTTTAATTGTTTTTTATCTTGGGAAATATTGAACCGATTTTTAAAATTCTTTCATCTATAGGAAGCTGTTAAATACGCGGGTGACATAGGCTACAATTTATACGACGAAGTTACGGGAAAACAGCTATCTTGTATTATTTTAAATTTTGTAAGTAAACTACAAAAGTATACGCATACCGCTAGAATAGATATATCGGCCAGAAAAGTTTCAGCAGGCCGTTAATTCTGCTGAACAATTCATTCTCCTAAATTATTTAGGCTCAGTATGAAAGCTGATTTCGACTCTCGTCCAACTTTATACGTTAGAATTGTAAGTAATTATTGTTTGTTTGTAAGTTAAAAAATTATATTTAATTAGTTTTATAGCAAAAAATAATAAACTATAAATAAATAAATATTCAAATAAACTATAAATAAATATGACAAAAAAACATCATATTCTTGTCAGAGTCGAAGGCGCATTGGTGGAGCTCAATGGCGCAGTGGTTAACGCGCTCAGTCTGCGATACGGTTGTTAAGCTACTTTCGCGATGGTTGATCATGGGATGGGTGACCAAATTTTTTTTATTATCTCGAGCACGTTAAGCTGTTGATCCCGGCTGCAGTCGTTAACACCCACCATTACGCAATGGGCGCTCGTTATTTGTTATAGCATGATTCTCTCTATTCGATTTGTTTTCATCCATGGAGAAGGCCTCAGCCTGGTGATGATAATATCAGAGACAATTTTTATTTTTTATTTTCTCAAATCTAATTACATGAATCATTTTGCAGCCGTGCAACACTCTTATAATAATTGTTCTCCAGTAATTGATAAAAAATAGTTTATTTTTTACGCGAATTTCTCTGTCCCTGTATATTTAAATGCGAGCCTTAAATTGGCCGACTGGTTCGCACGCCGGTTTCAAGGTGTCGCCATCTCTGAGGACCCGGGTTCGATTCTCGGTCGGGTCAATGTAGAAAATGAACTTTTCTATATTGTCTCGGGTCTGGGTGTTGTGGCACCTTCGTTGTCTCAGATACTCCATAATACGGGGGCTTTAGCTACTCATCTTGGAATCTAAGCAATGTATATGATGTTTTAAAAAAAAATTAGTCAATAAGTTTTAAAGAGAAATAACATTTCGACGAGAGACTTAAATATATCGTGTACTACTGCAGATTAGCCAACCAAACTTAAGTTTTATCTTTAGCCGACCGAATTACATAAAATAATAAGTGATACATAAACCGTTTTATTATAAAACGAAGACTAAAGTAAATATTAAACTATCTTTCGTCTAAAACAAATCAACGTGGGCAAAAGAGAAAATATCGAATTCAGACTTATTTTTGGTCGGATAATGGTTTTCAACCAGGTATTAAAGTTCTAGTTTTCGTTTTAAAGATGGAATAAGTTTAATCATGAAGTGGCATATAACCATAAACAAAGGACGAACTAAAAAAATCTTATCTGAAACATGAATTAAGTCTTGAAAATTCATTTCATATACGCAAGACACGCCACCTCTATATCGCCGAAATTAAATTCAAGCGAAGTTTGAAATAAAAGTCATGAACTGGAACGTACTATGTCTTTCAAAGATTTATGTTTCTATTACTTTACTATAAAAGTTTAGAAGAGACCCTTTAAATCAATGTCCAAGGACATATTGAGGCATCAAGGCCTTTGCTTGGATAGATTTAGTAGTCGAATAGAAATTCATATCACAATATTTCGCCAGCAAAAATTTGAACCATTTCAATAGTAGAAAGTTCTAATTTTTTACCACTACTATTCTATATTAATAACTAGATGATTCGTATAATCTGTCGTATGATGTGTTCGTATAATCTGTCGCCGTTTACACAGTTCCTGGACTACGACAAACAACGATTGGCATCGTGTGCCTTTCGAAGCACAGAAGAACTCGTGATAATAAACTAAAATTGCATTCGATCTATAATGTGGTAGACATTGCAAACCGAACGTACTTATCTACTTCGCTATTTAGCGCCGTATAACTTCCCTAATTCTATTCAAATTGAATAAATAAATAAAAAAAAATAATAAAAATATCTTGGAATATCCAACAACTATCGAAAACTACCATAACCCGACATCGCGTTACCGGCCTCAACGTAATAAACCGCTTCTCGCGACGTCCGTGGTACGGTAATGAACGTATTGATAAACAAAAATAAGGAATTACTAAAGATTGAAAGCATCTTAAAATTAATAATGATTACAAATCGTGTAATTTTCATACCAATTATTCTACTCCAAAGTTAATTTGATCTCAAAGCAAGAAGCAGATTTCAATCCTGTGAAGATATTAAATATCTACTCGATCGTCTTGAGTTCATCATTTTCGACTTACATTCTTGCTAAAAAAGTTAATAGCATTTGGTGTAATTTATTAAGCCTGTCCAATCTTATTTGCGATTCGAATATCTGGCTGACTAATCTAATTCAAGCAATTAGCACAGGTCACTGGTTACCTGTAAGGGCACCAGATAATAGCAATTAAGTACAGCGAACATATAAGTATACAAAATAACATATAAGGACTGGTAACTTGATGAAGTATGGATAGAAATAAATACATAAAATTGCAAAGTAAAAAACTAAGTAAACGTTACCAAGATACAAGACCAAGAACATCTACTTTTGTTGATAAAAGATGTCACTGATCGTTCTAAGTTTATTAATACTTATTTTTGCTGTCTTGAATCATGCAAAATTAATAATAAATACCAGGTTTCATAATGGTTATCTTAAAATATCCATGCAAAGCACAACTCCAAATCTGAATTACTAAATGACTGATCAACTGGATCAGTGGAAATTCAACCCCTAAATGTATCAGGAACATGTACTAGTATGTCAATTATACGTCCATGCAAAACACAAAAACATCTTTCTGTCTGCATTGGCAGCAATTATTGTAATTCAGTTGTTAATGATCGCAAAACGGAATCTAAAGTACTGACTTACTGATTTTGATACCCAAACTCAATTTGATCTATGGAAATTCAACCCCTCAAATGAATAAGGTGGGAAGTTTATGTGTAAGTCTGGCAGTTATGATGTTAGAGAGATGAAACCTTATTTAAACGTAACTGATTTATTAATGACTAAATACCTTTTCCAACGTGTGTTTAAAAGAATATAATTCACGTGGAAAAGCTTGTAATCAATATTAGCAAATAAAGATAAAGTGGGCGGAAAGAAAAAGCTTAATGAGTAAAGCTGAAAGGCATTAGTCGTGAGTTTAGCTAAACGTTTGGAAGAGGGCTCCTCTTTTTTGATTATAACAGCCGAATGTTTTGACAAGGGTCTGCTGATGCGGCAGTTAAAATGCTTACCTACCCAAAAAAGAAACACTTCTGGGTTAAAATTACAGCGTAATTCCAGTTTTTGCTGTACATGCTACCTTTCTCGATTGGTGTAATACACAAGGTTAGGTGATACGTGGATAATTTTTTTCATGAATAATCGGTATCTTGCTGTATATTGTTTTTCTTCTATCTGAGGCCCCAGTCAAAACTGGTGGAAGTTTTTAAATATTCTTCTTCGAGATAAAATATCAATATAGCATTTTACAATATAGCAAAATATGCGAATGCTTGATACTGTAGTTTAATCATCTAAGTCTCATAATGTCTATTAAGACTGTTATTTCGTGTTCCAGTGCTCAGGCGAGCATTCAGCATGTTTGATTCGAGCAAACAGGGCAGAATTGAGAAGGAAAAAGTACGCACCATTCTGAACACCATGGTACACAGTTACGACGACAGGGAACTCGACCAAATGCTGGACAGTGAAGACGCTGATGGTAAGTCTCTTTTTTTATAAACACCAGCCACATTTATAGACACACATGTTATAGATCTAGTTTCCACTTGAATCAATTTATATATTTATGAAAACCGACTTAAAATCTATTGTGTAATTTAAAAGATCTCAACGTACAACGACTACAACGTGGTCTAGTTTAAATCCAGATATGAGAAAATTCCATAATAATTTTCATCCCCTAATTTGCCCTCTTTGGGATCGAATTACGTAAAATCCTGTCTTAGTGAGCATCTACGTCCTCAAAAGAACCCGCATGCAAAATTTGAAACTCCTAGAACTTGTAGTAACGAAGTTTCATACAAACTTCATCCCCTAATTTACCCCCTTAGGGGTTGAATTTCATAAAATCCCGTCTAAGTGAGCACCTACGTCCTAAAAAGAACCCGCATACAAAATTTTAAACTCCTAGCACTTGTAGTTTCTGAGATTTCGTGAGGAGTCAGTGAATGAAAGATCTTTCGCTTTTATATATATATAGATAAATGAATTGTAAAATACATAGTAAAATAAAACAAACTCTGTAAATGACTCTGTAGTTCAGTTACTACTTAGCATTATATACCTACATCAAACAATTCAGAAACCGTTGGCTTTTAAACAAATCTCAGCGGAGTAACATCACATAAAACAGTGTTACACTGAGCGAATTCACAAAAATAAACACCCTTAAATTCCGCTCTGTGGAGTGTCATTGCAATTTACGGGAATCCCACTGCGATGCCGTCCCGTTTGCTAGTGTAATGTTCCCATCAGTCATCGCGGTGTAAACTAAAATATACCTTGTTTCGTACCACTAGAGTCCTCGAGTGTTAATTATATTACTTTTAAGTAATTTTGGTGTAAAGTTTATCTTGTTACATATGACTCCAGTCCTCGAGTGTTAACTATATAATTTTTTTTTTGTAATCAATTTGATGTAGGCAAAAGTGGGGCGTTTTTGTCAACTAAATTATGCAAGGTACAAAGGAGACAGCGTTATAAAATCAGTAACAGTTTTGACAAAATTACAAGTGCTTAAAATTTAAAGCTCTGTCCATCTCTTTTAAGTTATCATATAATATTCTGTATTTACATAGTCTGAAAGGAAAATGAGAGAAAATACATTGCATTTCATCTTCAGTCTATAAATGTTCCCATTGGGGACAGGCCTTTCCTATGAATGAAATCGAATCAAGTCGAAAAAGGGAGAATGGGACATTAAGCGGATCGTATGGATTGGTTGGTGTTAACCGACCGAATTACGAAACACGGAGGATTACAAGAAAATAATCTTTGGCGTCCCATTCTATGACCAGCCCTTAACTGCATCATCGCAGATTGAACACGCTAACTATATAAATTCAAAATAAACTAATTCGAAGTATAAAGATTGTGCATTAGACTTTTATTTAATAAGCTTTCCCATAATATCTACAGGCATGATCGATCGAACACAATGACACTTCACACGATAAAGTAACACCAATTTTGACAGTTTAGCGAAGCATCACGAGCCGTCAACGTTGACGATAATGAAGAAGAAGTTGTTTGGCATCAGATCAAATTAATGTAACGCTTTATTGGCGATGTCTTTGTGAAATTCAAAAGTTTATTTTAGAAATTCATAACATCAATTTAACTTTACGGAAACTCGTTAACGTTCGATTATAACATTTACTATCTTGGAGTTGTTATTAAAAAGACGGAATTCCATTTTCGAAATTTAAAATTACTAAAAAAAGAAAGATTAGTCATGGGAGGGACAAAAAGGTCAAATACCTATAATAAATCAGCCAGTATTAGTATTGGTTTAAGATATATATATCACCTTTTTTACACATATCACTCGTTCATAAAGAAAACGAGTTAGCGTGAATACGTTTGTAAATTAACAGTCAAAGCATTTATCATCATCATCATCATCAGCCCTTTTTACGTCCCCACTGCAGGGGCTCAGGCCTTCCTTATGGATGGTTTAAAGAGGATGGGCCATGACCCTCCACGCTGGCCCATGCGGATTGGAGGGTATTAACGACTGCAAATGCAGCCAGGACCAACGGCTTAACGTGCCCTCCGAAGCACGGAGTAGCTCGAGATAATAATTTTTTGGTCACCCATCCCGTGACCGACCCTTGCGAAAGTTGCTTAACGATTACGATCGCGGGCCGCGGCGCTAATCCACTACGCCACCGAGCTACAAACAACGAGCATTTATACAAACTATAAAATAAAATCGCGTCCTCCTGTTTGTATGCTGAGATTATTTAAACTACACAACATATTTTAAATGCGGTTCTTATTAATATAAAGTGAAAGTTATGTATGCGTAATACAGGACCGTGCAGGCGAAGTCGCTGGAGGAAAGTTATTATTTTAATAAAGAACACATTAGTTTTTTTTTCAACACTAAAAATTATTGTTTTATGGAAGAATTCTTATTATTGTTTTTAACGTAGTCACAACTTCTTATCGACTAATTTTAATGTTCAATCAAGAATTTTCAATTAATTAGACCCAACAACAAATTTTGTAAATTAACAAATACTTAAGGTCAAAGTAGATGAGCTTAAAAGTTTAGTGTTTATACATGCCGAAGTTTTGGGACAATGTAATGTTATGAAACTTAATATGGTAAAAGACGTCAGAAAGTTTCTTTTGGTCATAAAATATAATAATGAAATTCCTTATCGATATTGTAATATCAACATATAATATTAATCTTTGAACCTTCTGGACTGTCATATATAGTGTTGCCAGGTCCAATTTATTATTAATCAGGACAGCGCATGTAATTAATCGGGATTTGGGGTTGTAACAGGGGTTGTGACAGACAAAAAACAAGTATTAGTACTATTTTGGTAGCTTTTTTGCTTTCAGACATAGATAAATATAGTTAGGGGCATTCAAAAATGGATTTGACGTTATGAAAAAAAAAAATATTTCTTTTATAAAAATACTTGATTTTTCGGGACATTTAGCGTCCCGATTAGGTACAAATCGGGACGCGTCCCCGGACCCCTGAAAATCGGGACGTCCCGCGTAAATCAGGACACCTGGCAACACTAGTCATATACCAACTATAACAACACGGCCTCGTTTATTTAGAAGTATCAGTCACCACCTGTCGTTTACCTGAGATGCAACCTCTCTTTAATCATATGATACGTCATTTCAACTATGTTATATATGTCGCATCATCATTAAGAAGATCGTTTGATTTGGCTTCTTTATTTTAATTGCTAGTGACTCGATTACTTAATTACTCGATTGTAAAGAGAGCGTGATCATGGATGCTTTTAATTTTATTAGAATGGTGACACTGACTTTGACAGTTCGTTTATAAAAACCAAGTTGCCGCCATTTTAGCAGACATTCTGTTTCCGGTTGCCGAGGAGTAAAGACATCTGATGATACACGCTCATCTCGTTATATTTTCGTATGAAAAGTGATAAAATGGAATAAATCCACGTTGGTATACACGTGGAGTGTTATTTTAAAGATAGTCCTCTGATATGGACCATCTATTTGGGCTTCCTAATAGCCCCTTCGGACTACCCGCCGTTATATATCATTTTACTATACTTTGACATCTCTTACGGTCTGTTGCACAAACGTTCATTAAGGTTTAATGACACTCTAATGAATGTCAAATTTGTATGGCTAATGTCCCTATAAACTAATGAACATTTTAATGGTCATTTGTGCAACTAGCTGTTAGGTGGATACATTTTGGATAACCTACTGAATTGGAACCACTGCTATGAAATCCATATTCATAATTCCTTATCATTCGTAGTTCATTATTAAAGTATACGACTCGAGGCATAGGTACGAAATAGATAAGAAATAGGAATAAAATCTTAGCGATGTTTTGGCGGGATTTCCTTTTATTTTACTATTATGACATAACGACAAACCGATAATAAAGAATACTGGTTATGGATTCGATATAAGCGAATGTTAATTATGGTTATTAAAGGTTATTATCAACAAAAATATCAGCTTTGCTTTTCTATAAAAGTAGCGTTGAAGTCTACTTTCGGCACAGCACTAATACAGTTAAAGCTTATTCATTGAAAAGAAACCATCCAAGTGTTCTCGTACCTCTAGGGAGTTGCACACGAATGGTTCCGTAACATTCACATATCGTACATTGAGAACGATAGTGACACAATGAAAAAAATGCGATTTTCAGTAATGAGCGTTTAAAGTTCAAGAAATTGTAATCCGCCCCTCTAAAAAACGTATCGTCACTACGCCACCAAGCAGTTTCTATGCAAACTAACTTCACAGGGATGTTTGCATTTTAAAGTTTATACTTAACCAAGAAAAATGATGCCAAAAGTAAAAAAAGGGTCATTTTTGTTTAATGAAATTGTCATTCTCAACGTGCATCTAATGAAAATAAATCACGTTAGTTGTTAATTTTTTTTTTATATTGTGTTTTTAATTAATTGTTGTTGACGCGGCAAAAGAAATTCATAATCTATGAAAAATTCACTTTTAAGGAGATACAGCCTGGTAATAGACGAATAGAGAGACGTCTCGATTTACCCTTGGGTATGGAACCCTGAAAAACAAACAAAAAAATAACCTTTTAAAAGATCTGTAGCGAAATTTATGTACCTAGATATTATCATCCTATTTATACTATAAATGTGAAAGTTTCTTTATTTGGATGTTTAGATGTTTGGATGTTTGTACGTCAATCACGCCGAAACTACTGAACGGATTTTGATGAAATTTGGTATACAGATAGGGTGTTAGCTGACTTAGATAATAGGATACTTTTTATCCCACTAAACATTTCCCTAGGGTCCACGCGGGCGAAGCCGCTGGCGAAAGCTAGTAAATAATAACAATCACAGTCGAAGCAGTAACAAAACTTTGTTACGTTAAATAAGTTATTAAGTTGCATTGTCCATAAAATTAAACCTCGGAAACTACCATAAATAGATTTAATAATCTTTCAGTGAAATAGTTGGGCTGTTATTATAA